GGTCACCGATGGTGTCTTAAAGACTATGCTGGACGCAATGTCCGAACAAAGAAGGCAGACCCTACAATCCTCACTAGGAGATCTCCGCAAATATTTGCAGGAACTAGGGGCCAGAACAGCCACAGTAGAAAACACCATGGCAGAGTACACTGAGGCCCGTGCTGATATGGCTATAAAAATGGATGTAGTATAATAATGAGAAAAAATGGCAAAAAGATTTGATTCAATAAATGTCTTGAAATAAGTTAGGTGAAGGGGTAACCCTGGATAATAATACTGAAAGAAAAGAACAAAAATCTGTTCCAACTCCATCCAGAATAACAGATGATAAATAAACTAAACTATACAGAGTTAAAAATCTCGAAGATACTTTATTATGAGATCAAAAAATAAACAAGAAAACACACAACACATCATATGTGCCCTTAGAGGAACTGCCTAGCAAAATAAAGAAATGTCCATAACGGCAGTACCGAGAAAAACGTTTATGTGTATAAAATGAAAGATGAGTATAATAAAAAAGGAGCAAAATAAAATAAAACAAAACTAATTAAATAGAACTCCCACTGGGAACATATGTAACAATTAGCAAATAAACTGTTTACCAGTCTGCTATAGTCAAAAATGATACCATGTTACTATGTATCCGAGAAATAACACATAGAGAGAAAATAGCTGTAACCCGTGGGAAAATACCACTAAAAGAACGGTCGTTAAATCTAATCCAATCTGACCCTCTCAGAGAGAGAGAGGGATCAGATACTAGATGCTACAATATAACTGGTACTAATATGTCAATCACCTAAATATCCGTTTTCGGATATTAGAGAGGTAGATCTACTAATAGAATGGTAATTTAGCTGAGGAATCTGTCAGGTAGCGGAGGATACCTAAAGGAAGGTTAATGTGTCCCTTTGCCAAAATCAATCCATGCCCAATAGGGAAGTATCCAAAAAGACAGAGAACCAGGCAGCTAATTAATGCAATAACATGATAGAGCCCCAAGAATGCCCCGACGCGCGTTTCGCCTTAGAATCAAGGCTCATCAGGGGGAAGTGACTCACCGATCTATCAGAGTTTAAATAGGGCCGCCATTGAATTCCATTGGTTGTCTTTGGGTGTAGGGGAAATTGAATGAGTACGGTGGCCGAGATAGCTCTAATATTCACAAAACTCAATTTCTTAAAGCTACATGTGGCAACAGAATGAAAGTTATTAACTAAAACAGGGAAACTGTCTAGTTTTGATTGAAGCTTTTGTGTCCTTAACTTAGTGATTGATCCAAGAATAAATAAATAAATAAACATGTCTACATAACAATCAAAGAATAATTGAAAGACATAGATAAGGGGAATAAAATTGATGTCACTTAATATGTATATAGAGACCCCCCAAAAAAGAATCAAACCTGTTAGTTACTAACTAAACCAGGGAAACTGTTTAGTTTTAATTAAAGTTTTTGTGTCCTAAACAATTATTATTATTATTTTTTTATATATCAATTATAATTTTTTTGACTATTATGTAGACATGTTTATCTATTTATTCTTGGATCAAACATAAAGTTTAGGACACTACAGCTCTCTGTAGTGGTTATGGTACCAGGAGTGCCGTGGTGCCCTCCCAGAGTAAATAGTCAAACGGTTTAAGAACAGTTTGACAATTTACCTGGGGTCTGCCAGGATAGGGGCTGTAGTAGGAGATAGAGCCTCTAGTAGTGTGTGTGTGTGTGTGAGAGTAGGCAGTGTGTGTGTGTGTGTGTGTGTGTGTGTATGGGAGGCACTGAGTGTGTGAAGGATGCAGGGTGGGTATGGGAGACAGTGTGTGAGGGGTGCATAGTGTGTGTGTGTGTGTTTGTGTGTACGGGAGGCAGTGCATGTGGGCCAGTGTGTATATAGGGTTGCAGTGGGAGCAATTTATGTAGGAGGGGCAGTGTGTGTTTGTGTGAGGGGTGTAGTGTGTGCATGGGAGTGCAGTGTGTATATGTGGAGTGCAGTGGAAGCACTGTGTGTATGGGGCCAGTGTGTGTATAAAGGTGTAGTGGGAGCACTGTGTGTATGTGGGTGCAGTGTGTGTGTGTGTGGGGGAGACTTTTGTGGGGGTGCAGTGCTTGTGTGGGGGTGCACTGTGTGTATAGGGGTCTAGTGTGTGTGGGGGGAGAAGTGTGTGAGGGTGTAATGTTTGTGTGGGGGAGCACTGTGTGTGTGGGGGTGCAATGTTTGTATGGGGGAGACGTGTGTGTGTGGGGGTGCAGTGTGTGTGGAATGCAATGTTTGTATGGGGAGCACTGTGTGTAAGGGGAGAAGTATGTGTGTGGGGGTGCAGTGTGTGTTTGGAGGAGAAGTGTGTGGGTATGGGGGGCTATCGGGGCGGTGTAAAACAAATGTTTTGTTTTTTAAATTAATAAAATATTATTTAAAATCCCCCCTCCCTTCCTACCTTTGCCCAGGGAGGGGGGATATCGCTTGTAATCCCTGGTGGTCCGGTGGAATCCTTGGCGGTTCTAGTGGGGAGTGAATTCTAGCCTGCACCTCCTGAGAGAAGACCCGGCGGAGCTACAGGTTAGAACTCCTCCTGGGTCTCCTCTCTCCGTGCCGGCTGCCCAGCAATATGCCTGCGGACCGGTGAGGGAGAACTCTGATCTCCCCTCCGGTCCATGAAGGTACTTAGCAGGGCCGGCGCTTGGACAGCACTGGCCCTGCAGGAGAGAGCATCGGCTCTCGGGGAGGCAAAGGCCCCCTTGCCCCCCCCCCCGGATCTGCCACTGATCCATCCTCTGTGCTTGGGACATAATTGAATCAGGAACTGTACTTTAAAAATCCAATCATCTCCAAGCACAGAAAAAACATAAATTTTTATGAAACTCCAAAAAGTACCTTAAAACCACATAAGACCCCATAATCCCCTGATAGCCCCGATCTGGGTGAACAACAAATCCAAAAATCACCCAGATCAGTTCAGGAATTTTCTGGAAGTCATAGTTTTGACCGACCGTGCACGTGGTCCTTATGCCCAAAACAGTTCCAGGGAATTAAGGTCAACTGTCGGTCTCTTTTTATGGAGTACAAAAGTACATACATTATATAAATGGAGCCTTTTAAAGTGCATCGGGCAAGGTATATTGCAGGGCCCATATTCACAGGGTAAGAGACTGGCAAGCAGGCCTCTCCAAAACCCAGTGATGAAGGTGTTTTCATCACACCCTGCATACAGACAGTATCACAATGTGCTGCTCCCTTATATGTGTACAGCACATTTATATATTCATGTTTCCAGGGTTGATTCATCTCAATAAAAAAATGATTCATATTCATAGGGAAAAATTTTGATGAACAAAAATTTGCTTGGCTGAATGTTTTGCAAAATGTAGATTCACTGTCAGTGAACAGGCTGAGGTCCATACTTAGACTTGACGTATTTACATAAATGCCGTCAAATCTTCACATGCCCATTTACTCTTTACAGACTCTCTAGATCAGGGGTGCCTAAAAGGTAGATCCCCACATGCAGCAGAACTACATCTCCCAAGATGCTTTGCAGAAAGCCTTTAGATTGAGAAAGCATCATGGAAGCTTTAGTTTTGAAGCTTATAGGGATACATTTTGGGCACCCCTGCTCTAGACAGTCATCAGTCAGAGAGAAGGGAAACAGCAGAACTGTAATATGAAATAGTTTTCTTTACACAATTGTGACGAAAGCAATTTCGCCACTGGTTTTTGGAGAGGACTAATGGCCGGCCTTTTGCCCAAAGACTATGGGCCCTGCAAAAAGACATGTTAAAAAGTGACTTCCATGGGAAAATGTGCCTCTTCCCGCTATTGTTTCTCCAGCAGGGTGTTGTTTCAGGGACACTGCCAGACTAGTTTAAACTGGCTGCTTTGTCCCTCCTCAATCTACCATCAGCCCTTGTTATTGTCTGACCCCACCCTACCTTGTACTATAGTGCACTTTTAACATTGAAAACCGCCCACACAGCCTAATTCTCTGGAACTATTTTGGGCATGAAGCCATGCTTGCGGTCAGTCAAAAGAGACTTCTAGGAATTTCCTGAACCCGTGCTCTGATCTGGGTGAATCTTGGATATGTTTTTCACCCAGATCAGGGCTATCAGGGATGCGAGATTTATGGGGATATGTGTTGTCTTGAGGTGTTTTCCAGACTGTGTAAAAATGTTTTTCTGCTCAGAGTTAATTAAGTTAGACCATTGTCTTCGTTAATTGTATCACAGGCAGAGGGGAGGGATTGTGTACATTGTATGGGAGTGTCTGAATGTAAACCTCTGTTTTTATTGGTTTGTGTGTTTTGTATTCTGTGCCCAACAAGGTCCACCTGGGCGTCACCTTTGCTGTAAAACTTGTGTAAATACCAGTGTGTGCCATTAAACTTTCTGTTCCTTTTTGACCCTTAACACGTAGTCTTGTCTCGTGATTGGAGAGGAACTGCTATAATCACATTGGGGATTGCTATACTTTGTATACTCCCATGGGCTCTAATCACTTAGCTCTTTTAAGAGCTGTTCCTGTTACGCTCTCCTGGAGGAGAGGTCTCCCCCCTACACGGTCCTGGGTGTCAGAGGTTGATCCAGGGTGGAAAGAAGATGGCGAGATTCCAGTTAAGTTATGGCGGCTGTGGAGTCTACGGTGGTTGTGGTGTCCGGTGCAGTGCTTATAGTCCTTGGCTTCAGCTAGGAAGCATCCGTTAACGGAGGTACCCAGTTGGGGTGCCAGGTGATCCGTTACAACAATTATCTCAAGCATTATATTTCCTTTTTAAGAAAATTTGAGAGGTAAACAACACCTCCTCAGAAAAAAAACATCACCCATTTTTACCATTAAAAGATTTTTTTTAGTGTAACAAATGCTGCTGGATGCCCCATCTGCCTCTTTATTTGTCCGCTGTTAGCCAAAACTAAACAGATTGAAAAGCATCAAATGTGGACTGATTAACTGACAACACATAATATTATTATATCAACATTTTATGTATCTGTTCCAGAAAAAATGCTGCCTGAAGATGTTGAGATTCTCCCCAGTGTTACCAGAAATAGAACCTGTGGGGTCATTTGTAAAGTAAATGGATCTGATGTGATTATCACCTGGAGCAGTTCAAACAGCACTGAAATAAAAGTGATTAATGGATTATTGCGCGTTCCAGACACAAATAACATCTTCACGTGTACTGCGCAGAACCCAGTCAGTACCGTCTCCAAAACTGTGATACCAAAGAGCTTCTGCCAGAAAGGTAAAAGTGTTTAATAATTACCCTTCTATTTAGTGCGTGTATCCCATGTGATAATACTCGTGTAATATTCATCTCATGTAAATCGCAAGATGTGTCAAACTTTGAGATCTATCTCTACAATATCAGAGTGCTCTACAGCTGGGTTTCCGAGCTAATGAGAACATTATATACAAAGATACACTATAGTCACCCCAACCACTAGAGCTTGATAAGCTTGTAGGCTTTTCAATGTAAATGCTGCCTTTTCAGAGAAAAGGAGATAGTGATTGGTTTAGTGCGGAGTTTTGCTGGACATGTGCTATAACCTCCCAATGCTTTCCTGTATGAAAGCATTGGATTGGCTGAGATCATCAAGACTGATAAACTCAGCCATAGGCAGAGCCAGGCATGGCCAACCACGGCGAGACCTGTGGTTGGCCTTTTTAGGAGAAAAAGTGAGTTTAAACACCTTTTCACTGCTCTGACAGGGGCTGGAGATCTTAACTGCCACACCAGCACTATAGTGTCAGCAATACATGTTTGTAATGTTTGTATTTTTGACACTATAGTTTCATTAATATATAATACGTGTAACGGAATATTAGATTAATCAGAGTAAATTTGTTAACTGGAACATGTGGCTGGTCTCCTCAACTCTTAGAGGGTTGGGTAAGGCACCCATTGGGATATTTTGATCAATATCCAAATCAGTTGCTATTCTGATTTATACATGCAGTCGTTGTAGTAAAATGAAATGCTTGACATCCACATCACTTACTGAAGGAAAATACCAATGAGAAATATCTAGATATTTTGGGTGCGCACTGAGCATGCTCAGATGGAATGTTTACCATTACTATAGATACAGCGTATGATGTAACTACATAACATTCTTCAAACTCTCGTTTCAGATCTACAGACGATGTCTACCCCCGGGAATGATCTCCTTTATGGAGTTTTTATTGCTAAGGGTTTTTCACTTCTGATTGTTGGACTTTTCCTCACCATCAATTTACTGCTAACCAGAAAACAAGTATGTAGTATCTCTGTATTTCCATGGTTAATGTGTTCTGGATAGGTGTAACTATTCAGTTAGAGTGCTAGTATGTGATATAAAGCCATGTACTCCAATCAGAGTGCTGTGATCATTGTAAGTAATATTCACTCAATTCAGAATTCTGTTTGAAATCACTGCAAACACGACAGACAGGAACTAAATGGATGTCACGTCTTTTCAAACAGGCTGAACAGAACGGATTGTTTTTTCTCTCTATTCATCCCAATATAATTATTCATAGGTAAACAGACTCTTACACTGACAGTTGATTTGATCTAGAAGAGAAATTCTTAGACCAAACGTCTCAAACTCTTCTCTCCGAACATGTTGTTAAACTAAAACTACCACAATTTTTTGGCAATCCATTGTATTCAATGAATTTTGGGAGTTGTAGGCTATCGACATCTGGGGAAGGCAGCATTTGAGATCTCTGTCTTAGAGAGTATTATGCGATATGATAGCTGTAAGATCAGCAAACGCTAATATCATTAACCCTTAACTAACCAGCTACCAATAGCCAAATTAAAATGAGGGGGTGGAGTTAAGAAAAACAAAACGTAATAATATATTGTGACGAAGTGCCCTTCGCCACTTGTGCCTGGAGAGGACTGCTTGCCCGCCTCTTGCCCTGTGACTATGGCCCCTGGGATGTATTGCCCTTTAAAGACATGATTTGGGCATAATGGATTTGTGTTGTGCTGCTGCTGGCCCTTTTAAGAACCATCTGGGGACATACTGTGGAGTTACTAGGTGGCCACCATTTCCTGTATCAGAAGCACATGGTGAGAACAATGGATGGCGGCCATTTTTACTCACAGACACTGTGTGGACTTTTCAACACGGTGCCATCTCGCCAGTATTTGTTGCACAGAGACATCGTGCGGTGGTTTTGGACTATACAGCGGGGGACACATTATACAGTGATTGTTTTTTATTTAGCCTGTATATGTTCTGCAGAATCTGCATTAAACTGTGTTTTCCAAAGTACTGAACGGATCTGGGTGAATTTTGGATATGTGGTTCACCCAGATCCCCCGGTTCCAAGGATATACTTTTTATGGGGTTATTGCATGTTTTGGGGTCCTTGTGTGTTTTATGAAACTGTATTATTTCTGGCCAGCAGATAATTGAGCTTTGTGTATTGTAGAAACTCAATTATCTAGCCTGGCCCAGAGGAGGAGTTTTGTGTTGCATAAATTGTGATTTCTGTGTGCCAGTAAATCAGTCTTGTTCCAGCATTAAGCCTTGGCTCATGTTTGGGGAAAGGGATACCTACACTCTGGGGATTGCTATAATCACTTACTCCCCAGAGGAAGCTCTTGCAATAGCTTGATTTGTTCCTGTTCCTGCTCTCTGGGGAAAGAGGGGTTCACCCACTGGAAGCTGGATCCTGGCCTTGGGTCCAGGGTGGGTGGAAACAGCAGAGACCCCGGCGCAGTTGCATCGCTGGAAGTGGGGTCTGCAGTGCTGATAGTGTCGGTTGGAGTGCTTGGAGTCCTCAGCGAGCACTAGGAGCATCGATTGGCGGAGGTACTCAGTCGGAGTGCCAGCATTCCGTCACATTTGGTG